ATAGTGTCACACAGCTCACAGCAACCTCCAACTCCTGGGCTTAGGCAATTCTCTTGCCTCAGCCTCCCAAGTAGCTGGGACTACAGGTGCCCGCCACAGCGGGCAGTTTGTTGCAGTTTGGCCGGATGGGTTTGAACCCGCCACCCTCAGTATATGGGTCCAGTGCCCTATTCACTGAGCCACAGGTGCTGCCCTTATTTTTCTATTCTTAGTAAAGATGGGTTCTTGCTCTTGCTCAGGCTGGTTTCAAACTCATGACCTCAAGGAATTTTCCCACTTCAGCCTCCAAGAATACAGGATTACAGGCATGAGCCATCATGCCCAGCCTCCTTGGTCTTTTTCTCAACCTGCCTGGTGTTACCTCCCTAAAGCATGTCTCACTAAGATCTTTCCTTACCCAGGTGAAGAGTTTCACGATGTGGAGGATGCAGAGACCTACAAGAAGATGCTGGCTCGAGATGAGCGGCGTTTCCGGGTGGCTGACCAGGATGGGGACTCGATGGCCACTCGGGAGGAGCTAACAGCCTTCCTGCACCCTGAGGAGTTCCCCCACATGCGGGACATTGTGATTGCTGTGAGTGAGGGCTGGAGGAGCCCTTTCTGGGACCTAGGCTTTTCATCCCTACTCTAGTATAACAGCATGTACCAAGGGCAGGAAGTCACCTGGTTCTTTAGCATGTTCCCTAGGGAACCCAGGCTACAAATGCAGATCAGTGGAGGGTGACAGTTTCTAGCCCACTTCCCAATCCTCAGTTTCTAACTTCTCTTCACCAGACCACCCCTCCCTGTGCTCACATTTGGGGTCTAGGGCTCCCACGTGCCCTCAGACAACCATATCCCCACAAGTGCTTCAAGGACCCCCAATGCTGGTTGAAACCCCAGAAATACTCCACACATGAGTGTTCACTCTGAGATCTCTCCTGATGGCCCCTCATATTTTTTCTTTTTTGAGATAAAGTCTTTTTTTTTTTTTTTTAAGTTTTTGGCCAGGGCCAGGTTTGAACCCGCCACCTCCAGTATATGGGGTCGGTGCCCTACTCCTTTGAGCCACAGGTGCTGCCCCATCTTTTTTTCTTTTTGAGACAGTTTTACTTTGTCACCCTCGGTAGAGTGCCGTGGCGTCACATCTCACAGCAACCTCCAACCCCTGGGCTTAGGCAATTCTCTTGCCTCCGCCTCCAGAATAGCTGGGACTACAGGTGCCACCCACAACACCCAGCTATTTTTAGAGACAAGGTTTCACTCTGGCTCAGGCTGGTCTCAAACCTGTGAGCTCAGGCAAACCACCTGCCTTGGCCTCCCATGTGCTGGGATAACAGGTGTGAGCTGCTGCACCCAGACTGAGATAAGGTCTTGCTCTGTCACTCAGGCTACAGTGCCATGGTGTCAGCCTAGCTCACCATAGCCTTAAACTCCTGGGCCCAAGTGATCCTCCTGCCTCAGCCTCTCGAGTGGCTGGGACTACAGGTGGACCCCACAATACCTGGCTAGTTTTGTTTGTTTGTTTGTTTGTTTGTTTTTAGAGACAGAGTCTTACTTTATTGCTTTTGGTAGAATGCACTAGTGTCACTGCTCACAGCAACCTCTAACTTCTGAGCTTAGGTGATTCTCTTGCCTCAGCCTCCCAAGTAGCTGGGACTACAGGCAGCCGCTGCAATGTCCAGCTATTTTTGTTGCAGTTTGGTCGGAGCTGGGTTTGAACCCACCACCCTCGGTATATGGGGCCGGCGCCCTACTCACTGAGCCATAGGCGCTGCCCTAGTTTTTCTATTTTTAATAGAGATGCAGTCTTGCTTTTAGTCTAGTTGGTCTTGAACTCCTGAATTCAAGGGATCCTCCCACCTTGACCTCTCAGAGTGCTGGGATTATGGGCATTATGGCTTAAGCCACCATGCCTGGCCTTTCTAGGGAATTTATGTACTTGCTTCATTCAGCTTAGCAACAACCCTTGAGGTGGGGCTTTTGGCCTGGCTCAGAGATGGACACAAAGGCCCAGAGAGGAAAGGTATCATCTTGCTGCCCAGGGACAGTTTTACCACACCCTCTTGAACCCCATGGACTCCCCACTGTATAAAATCCCGTAAACCTGGGCAGTGCCTGTGGCTCAGGGAGTAGGGCTCTGGCCCCATATACCGAGGGTGGCGGGTTCAAACCTGGCCCCAGCCAAACTGCAACAAAAAATAGCCGAGTGTTGTGGCAGGCACCTATACTCCCAGCTACTTGGGAGGCTGAGGCAAGAGAATTGCCTAAGCCCAGGATTTGGAGGTTGCTGTGAGCTGTGATGGCACAGCACTCTACCAAGGGCAATAAAGTGAGACTCTGTCTCTAAAAAAAAAAAAAGATCCTGTAGACGTTTATTTATTTATTTTTCTTGAGACAGAGTCTCACTATGTCACTCTTGGTAGAGTGCCATGGTGTCACAGCTCACAGCAACCTCAAACTCTTGGGCTAAAGCAATTCTCTTGCTTCAGCCTCCCAAATAGCTGGGACTACAGGTGCCCACCACAATGCCTGGCTATTTTTGTTTTGGTTCCAGTTGTCATTGTTTAGCAGTCCTGGGCCTGAACCGGTCACCTTTGGTGTATGTGGCTGGCGCCTTACTCACCAAGCTAAGGGCACCGAGCCCATTTATTTATTTATATAGAGACTAGGTGTTGCTCTTGCTCAGGCTGGTCCCCAACTCCATATCATGAATGGCTGATTTCATGCAACGGTAGTGTTGAGCAGTTGCAGTGGACACTGAATGGGTTGCAGGGACAGAAATATTTTCTGTCTGGCCCTTTACAGTGTTGGCCATGCCCTGGTCTAAACTCTCTGCTATCCTTTCTCACGTTTGTGGACAGTGTCACATATCCACATACAGGACTTCAAAATGTGACTGTGAGTTATAACTGTGCTGTAAAGGACAAACTAAGGCCAGGCACAATGGTTCATGCCTGTAATCCTAGCACTCTGGGAGGCCAAGAGAGGTGGATTGGCTGAGTTCAGGAGTTCAAGACCAACCTGAGCAAGAGCGAGACCCCCATTCTAAGAAATAGCTGAGTGTTGTGGTGGGCGCCTGTAGTCCCTGCTACTTGGGAGGCTAAGGCAAGAGGATTACTTGAGCCTAAGAGTTTGAGGTTGCTGTGAGCTATAAGGTCGTAGCACTCTACTTAGAGTAAACAAAATGAGACTGTCTCAAAAAAGTAAAAAAAGGGCAGTGCCTGTGGCTCAAGGAGTAAGGCACTGGCCCTATATACTGGAGGTGGTGGGTTGAAACCCAGACCCAGCCAAAAAAAAGAAAAAAAGGACAAACTAAAGGAAAGTCACTTAAAATAATAAGGCTTTCAATATATGGGTGGTGCCCATAGCCTAGTGGGTAGGGTGCAGGCAACATACCCTGGGGCTGGAAGTTGGAACCCGACTGGGCTAGCTAAAACAGCAATGACAACTGCAACAACAACAAAAATAGCCAGGGGTTGTGGCAGGCGCCTGTAGTCCCACATACTAGGGAGGCTGAGGCAAGTGAATCACTTGAGCCTAAGAGTTGGAGGTTGCTGTAAGCTATGATGCCACAGAACTCTATTGAGGGTGATAAAGTGAGACTCTGTCTCAATAAAAAATATATATATGTGTGTGTGTGTGTGTGTGTGTAAGTGTTGAAGAGTTATCAGATCTGGCAAACAGCATAGGATAGTCAATTACACTTAAATTTATAACAACATATAAACAACAAATCATTCTCTAATATAAGTATGTCCCACACAATATTTGGGACATATTTATCGTAAAAAGTTGTTTATTTGAAATTCAAATGTAACTCATCCTGAAGTATATATCTCAAATATATGGAACGTAGTTATACTGAAGAATCATTTGTTATTTATCTGAAATCCAACTATCATTGGGTGAACTGTATTTTATCTGTCGACTCTAAAATATTGAGGCTTAACTTTGCTAGAAGATACAGCGATGATGCCTGCAGTGCTTTATATTGAATGAGTCTGAATGTAAAAGTGGGGAACAGAAGCTATTTTGCTCAAGAAGTTTGCACAAAACAAAGAGTAGCAGTGTTAGGTATGGATCAAAACAATCCACGAATGTGCATATCCAGGGTTAGGGGCCAGGCTCTGAAGCTGTAAGAGGTTTTACCCCTTCCAAAGTGTTTGCCAGGAGGTGAAAATGTTAGGGACAGCTCTCCTTGCCTGTAAGGAGCCTGTGCTTTGCTGTACATTGGGGTCCCCTGGCTCTCAGCACAGTGCTCACATCACAAGATGACCCGAAAAGCCATCAGATTCCCCATACACTGCCCATTGAGACTGCCCAGTGCCTGTCCCAGAGAATCTCACTTCATTCCCCCAGGGGCCTGGCCTCCCATGGGAGCCAGTGTACACCTTGTCTCAATGCCTATTTCTCCTCAGGAAACCCTGGAGGACCTAGACAAGAACAGAGATGGCTATGTCCAGGTGGAGGAGTACATTGGTGAGTGAACCCCAATTCCCTCCTGGGTAACCTGTCCTCTCCTGGGTGCTGGTGGCAGTGGATGTATATTTTCCAGAAGAGGGCAAGAACCCTTAGAGGCAGAGCAGGAGCATTGCCTGCGTTCATGCACCAAACACTTAATTGAGTAGCTATTGTATGCCAGACACAAAAGCATCTATTAAGCACCTACTATATACCAGGCCCAGGAAACATTCGTTGAGCACCTACTGTAGACAAGTGGTTGAGGATACAGCAGAAAATAACACAGACAAAATTCCTCCTCCGTGGTGTGGAGTTTCTATTTTTTTTTTTTTTTTTGAGACAGTTTCATTCTCTTGCTCTGGGTAGAGTGCCTTATCATTGTCATAACTTTTTTTTTTTTTTTTTTTTTAGCATTGTCATAACTTAAAGCCACCTCAAAACTCCTGGCTCAAGCGATCCTCTTGCCTCAGCCTCCCAAGGAGCTGGAACTAAAGATGCCTGCCACAATGCCTGGCTAGTTTTTTTATTTTTAGTAGAGACAGAGTCTGGCTCTTGCTCAGACTGTTCTGGAACTGCTGAGCTCAAATAATCCTTCCACCTTGGCCTCCTTACCTTGCTGGATTACAGGCAAGAGCCACCATACCTGGCCTCGGATCATTTAAAAACTAAAGAGGGTGGTGCCTATGGCTCAAAGGAGTAGGGCACTGGCCCCATATACTGGAGGTGGTGGGTTCAAACCCGGCCCTGGCCAAAAAAAAACAAACACAGCTCAGCGTCCATAGCTCAGTGGTTAGGGCACTGGCCACATACACCAAGACAGGAGGGTTTGAACCAGCCCAGGCCTGCTACACAACAATGACAACAGCAACAACAAAATAGCCAGGTGTTGTGGTGGGCGCCTATAGTCCCATTTACTTGGGAGGCTGAGGCAAGAGAATCACTTAAGCCCAAGAGTTGAAGGTTGCTGTGAGCTGTGACACCACAAGGCGACACAGTGAGCCAGTGAGCCTATGTCTTAAAATAAATAAATAAAAACTAAAGAAACAGGAAGAAGCTCTGAGCTCACTATGTGTGAAGACAGTTTGTGCTCAGCTTGGGCTACCACCCTGGTGACAGTTCCCTGGCCTGGTCCCCCAGAGGAAGAAGGCATTCTGTTCTAATCATCATGGTTTTATGTCTGAAGTAAAAAGAGTTGTCACATTATTATGACTTCTAAATCCACCCTGGGTTCGGGAGTTTTACAAACATTTATAAATAATTGAAACAAGCGAGAGGCTTCCTGCATTTTTGAAGGTAGCATTCTAGTGTGTCCTATTATTTGGTGAGAAAAATCTTCACTCATTTCTCCTTCATGGGCAGCACTTCCTACGTGCCCGGTCCCAGCCTTGCCCCATCACATTCAGTTTCATTCAGTCACATCAGTTTCACTTGTAATATATTGATCGCAGGTGAGGTGGGTTTTTTTTTTTTTTTT